GTGTTTTTTGAACATTAAAGCATGTCAACATATTCTGTTACACCAAATACACAAAATAATGATCTTTAAAAAAAGCATCATATGACCCCTTTAAAGTTCATAAGTGCAGCACCTCTTTGTTTACAGCGGAAACCAAGGAAACGCTTTAAGCGCCACCTGCTGGCAGAGAGTGATTCTGTGTCTCATTCAGCTCCGCTTTCATGCAGATATTTTTTATGTATAGTTTCACAAAACTGAAGTCAAATCATTCTGTTTTTGCTTCAAATTTCGAAATTATACAACCTAATTTAGATTAAAAACTGTTCATGTTGCATGTATGCAGCATCTTTGTTTGGATCATGATTAAAATGCAGTGGTTGCCTCTAATTTTAAATGGAAAGAGCACAGACAAAGCCTTAGTTTGTTTATATGAAAATATTTATTTTTATTTGTTACTTATTTGATTTGGGGCTTGTTTTAAAATTTCAATTTAGTTTTGTTATTTACATTTACAGTGGCCTATATTTAAATTTTGTTATTTAGCAGACACCAATTTTATCCACAGCAACTTACAAATGAGGACAATAAAAGCAATCAAAACCAACAAAAGAGCAATAATATGCAAGTGCTATATTAGTATATTTTTATAGTGTTATATTTCAGTTTCACAAAGAAACGGGCAGCATTTTGTCCAAGCAATAATAAAAGGACACATTTAATTTATAATTTGTCTTAAATCTCATTTTGTCGTGAATAAAAATCGTGAATCTAATCGAATCGGGAAATCAAAATCGTGAATCGAATCGTGAGTTGAGTGAATCGTTACATCCCTAGTTGTGACTGACAGCAAAGGTACTGATTGTGTTTTGTATAATATTAAAATAGTTGAAGTTCTTATATCATTGTGTATGACTTCCATTGCAATAAAGTAATACATTGCTATAAAATCAAAACCATATGTCTAACTAAGTTATATTCCAAATTTGAAGTTGATATCACAAAAATCAAGGTTCCTGTGAGATTTTGTTTAGGCACTATACTAAAAATAGCCACCGGGTGACACCCAAACTCCACTGAATTTTTTTAATGCATTTTCATGGCACAAATGTGTACATTTCTGTCACAGTATTACTTCTACCACAAAATAGTCACTAAATACGTAACCTTTCCAACGATATGTGTTTTGTCATGATGAGAAAAAGTTCCATGACAAGGATTCTATCAGTCACTGATTTTGTATTTTTAAAAAATGTAAAATGGTTTAATTTTATTCATTTGATCATGTACTTATCTATTTCATTGCAAGTGTGAGACAGCCCGCTCACATGCTCTTCTGATTGGCTGTGATTTGTAATCGGTTTTGTTGTGTCTTGTAGCTTCGCTACGTCTGGGTGTGAACAGACAAATTGCTTGTCACAGAATCTTATCGCATCGTGTTTAGTTAGGATAACATGACCGTAGACTGCAAGATTAGATTCTGGAACGAAGCTTAAGTCTGACATCTCCTAAGAGATCCATGTATTAATTCGGAGAGATTTTCCACAGACGAACTGCTGCTTTTGATCTCATGCATCCACACAGACACATATTGATTGTAGTAGCACAAGAGCCAAATCTTAAATAAAGAAAAAGCTCTGAACTCTTTTATCGAGAGTGGATTCTTTGCTTCTGAAGTCATGAATCACAGCGAAACTAAATTAAAAGTGGATAAGAAATGAAGTGCATTTTCAACTAGGTGATGATAACACTCTGGCTTTGTTCAACTGTTTGTTCTTTGTTCAAAATGCTGGCCATGTTGACAGCTCACTAGGTTTTAAAACACAGTTTGTGTCGTAGCATGTGTCAATGCGTGTTGGCATTGTGGTCACCTGGACTCCTCCAGTGGGTGCTGAACTGTGAGGAGACGCGGATGTCGTAACCGGGTCAGCTGTTGAACTCCTTTCTTCAGCGAATCAATGATCTGATCCTTCTCAAACTTCTGATAGCGATCAATGATCTTCTTATCGAACACGAAGACTGCCACTTCCTGCGGGAAGTAGAATGCAAATTTGTAGCAGAGTAAAATTTCAATGGCTGAGCAAAAAATAAATCATAAATAAATAAAACAAAAACCTAAATGAAATCCATTAATTTATTAACTCAACAAATAATTTATTACAACATATTTAAATGTATATTTCATCTGCAGTACTATCTGTACATCTGTACATTCAACAAATATATTAGTTATATATAAAAAAATATTTTGTTTAGCAAAAATATAAATGTCTATTAGGGCTGTGCGATATTGAAGAAAAATGCGATATGCGATACCTTGTTAAAAAATGCGATATTCGATATGCGATACGATATTGCTTAAAGTGTGTAAAATCAATTTCAATTATATTTTAAAATATTTAAAAATGAAAATTATATAACCAATTTGTTTCACATTCTTTCTTGGAAAAGAAAGAATCACTACAACTTCTGAAAGTGACCAGCAGTGTTTTAGCATTACATAAAAAGTCATGTCACAAATCAGAAAATGTCATTTTTAACATCAGTGTGAACATGTGTATGTGTCTGTTCAAACATGAGGAGATGCGAAAGACAAATCAACTTGGTGTTCGCGCGCTGTCTGAAACGCGTCTCTCTGTGTGTGCGCGTGCTTTGCACGTGTGCGGCAGAACTGAAGATACGCTGTGCGAGATGCAGCTTGTGCGCGCACTTCAGGTGTGAGTCAGACAGCAAGACGAGATGGCAAAGAGTTGTTTTCTGCAACTTATTGCACTTAACTCTTTTTAACGTCAAGCAATTCTCTGCTATATGCGTCGAACTAAAACTTTGACCTTTTGCAACATTTTGATTTAAGTAGCCTATTATTATTGCACACCCTTGCGATATGCCTATTGCGATATTTACATTTGTGATATTTCGATAATTTCGATATATCGTGCAGCCCTAATGTCTATACATTCCACAAAATTTATTTACAAATATTTGGATTTATATTTATTTTGAAACAATATCTGTTTATCTGTACATTCAACAACAAAAAAAAGTACATTACACTATATTTGCAAAACTATCTGTACATCTGCAAATTCAACAAATAATATATAGAGAAAGATTTACATTCATACTTATTTTGCAATAATATCTGTACATTCAAAAGAATTATGAAAAAATATTAGATTTTTATGTTCTTGTAAAAAAAATCAGTACATCTACAAAATCAACAAAAAGATTAATAAATAAATATTTACATATATATTTATTTTGCAATGATATGACTTAAACATTCAACACACATTTGTTTATTAACAGGCCTAATTCAACCCATTCTAAGTGATGCTTCCAATCATTTGCAATTTCAAACAAAACCACATCTGTATTAGCCATCTAAATTCTTTTATCTGGGTGACATAAACAGAAAAGCACAAAAACACATGTATGTGATCAACAAACTCAAGATTGTGTAAAGTCATGACAATTGCATCATTCAATAAAACTGTGCTGTGCATTTTCAAGGTTGAAACTAAAGACTTCATCTTTCACTGTAAACAACTTACCAACATCAAACATGATCATGTCATATTATGTGTGATATAAATGAAAAATACTGACAGAAGTGACTATAATATGGCGCTTTTCCACTGCGTGGTACGACTCGGCTCGGCACGGCTCAGTACGGTACGACACGGCACGGCTCGGCTTGCGTTTCCACTGCAGTTCAGTACCGCTTTAGAGTGGGCGGGATTATTCACATGTCCTTATAGTTGCGCCGCCTCTATTGCCGCAACTCCTGAAAAACTTTTTCATTCCCCGTCGCCCCATCAAGCTCTTGCTGGATCTGCTCCTCTGCTATCAACGAGAGGAACGTCTGTACTTCCTCAACAGACAACGAAACAGCCACTTTTTGGTTGTTAAAGGTGCACTTGTTCAAAACAGTTGCATTCGATCCTTCGCTGGCTGTGCTGATTTAAATCTAGCAGTTCTGTTGTGTTTGTTGCAAGTTCAGTGACGCAGGTAGGGACGATTCTCTCCGGCCAATCAGTGATCAGCAGAGTTTACACGTCACGTTTTGGTAACCAGTGTTGTATTAAAAATGTATAAAATGTTAAATCTAGGTTCCAATGT